CCGGGTTCAAGTGATTCTCCTGCCTCAGCCTCCCAAGTAGCTGGGATTACAGGCTGGAGTGCAATGGCGCGATCTTGGCTCACTGCAACCGCCTCTACCCGGGTTCAAGTGATTCTCCTGCCTCAGACTCCTAAGTAGCTGGAATTACAGGCATGTGCCACCACGCCCAGCTAATTTCGTATTTTTAGTAGAGATGGAGTTTCTCCATGTTGGTCAGGCTGGTCTCGAACTCCTGACCTGCCATTATGCCCAGCTAATTTTTTTGTATTTTTAGTAGAGACGGAGTTTCACCATGTTGGCCAGGCTGGTCTTGAAGTCCTAACCTCGTGATCCACCCACCTCAGCCTCCCAAAATGCTGGGATTACAGGTGTGAGCCACCACACCCGGCGGCTGTTTTGCTTTCTTATAATTTGTGTGCTCACTGGAGTAGCACTTTTAATTTCCTTCAAGAACTTTTCCTTTGCACTCACAACTTGGTTAACTGTTTGGCACAAGAGGCCTAGCTTTTGGCCTATCTCAGCTTTTGACATGCCTTCCTCAGTAAGCTTAATCATTTCTAGCTTTTGGTGGAAAGAGACATGCAACTCTTCCTTTCACTTGAACACTTAAAGGTCATATTAGGATTACTAATTGGCCTAGTTTCAATAATATTGTGTCTCAGGGAACAGGGAGGCCCAAGGAGAGGGAGAGACTGGGGAACAGCCAATCAGTGGAGCAATCAGAACACACAAATTCATCAATTAATTTTGCCATTTTATATAGGTACAGTCCATGGCACCCCAAAACAATTATAATAGTAACATCAAGTATCACTTATCACAGATTATAACAGAAATAATAATGAACAAGTCTGAAATATTATGAGAATTACCAAAATGTGACACAAAGCCATGAAGTGAGCACATATATTTGGAAAAATGATGCCAATAGACTTGCTCAATGCTGGTTGCCACAAACCCTCAATTTGTGAAAAAAGCAGTTTCTGTGAAGCATAATAAAGCCAAGTAAAATAATACAAACAAAATATGTCTGTATTTGAAGATAGGGTCTTCTAAGAGGTAATGAAGTTAAAATGAGGTCATTTGGGTGGAACCTAATTCCATATGACTGGTGTCCTTACAGGAAGAGGAGACTAGGACACGGACATACATCAAGAAAGATCATGGGAAGACACAGAGAGAAGGCGGCTGTCTGTAAGCCAAAGAGAGAGGCCTCACAAGAAACCAACCCTGCTGACACCGTCATCTCAGGCTTCTGGCCTCATGAATTGTGAAAAAAAAAATTAATTTCTGTTGTTTAAACCACACAGTCTGTGGAATTTTATTATGGCAATCCTAAAAACTAATACATGTGCTTTACAATTTACAAAGCTTTTTCTCATAAACTCACTTAAATGTCAAAACAATCCAGTTGCATAGAGTATTATCCCCATTTTACTGAGGAAACAGACTCAGAAACTAATAGCCTGACATCCCAGTGTTCATGCGTGGCAGATCTTGGCTTGGCTTGGAGACTTTCTGACTCCAGATCCCAGGTTCTTTCAAATGGACTCTGTTTCCTATTTGCAAAGTGCTTAGCACCATCATTTTCATGTTTTTCTGTCCATCAGCCATTTATAGGCAGGCTACAATCTGTTCCCTTAGTCTGGAGAGTGGCTGAGTGATGTGCTTAGGCTTACACAATGAGTTGGTGGCAGGAATGGCATTAAAGTGGCTCCCGAAATTCTGGGTCATTTTAAAGTGATGATTTCTTATTTTTCCTGTTCACTCAGCCAAATTCAAAGAGCCAAGAATTTTTGAGTAGCTTTGTTCCTGGTGCAGAACAGCCCCACCTCTAATGTCTACTTCAGGTGAGCCTGCCGCAGGTGATCCAGGAATTCAAACGCTGAGAGCACCTGAAGAATCTAAGTTGTTTACAGGCCTCACTGCAGGGTTTGGCTCTTAAGGAGCTGTTTTTGACCCTTAAGGAGCTGCTTTTAACTGTCACCACCTACTGGGAGGAGAATTGACCAGGGAACTGAGTTCATCTGTGGTTTGCTTTCAACTTAAAATAGTCATATCTTTTCCTGAGAATATTGATTGAAAAGTTGATATCAAAATAAGCAAAGGACCTACACTAGCAAATTTCAGTGAATGAGGCTTTTTCCTCTTTGGGGGAAGGTAAAAGTGCATTGATAGGTTAGTGAGCAAGATTTTAAAATGATTTTCTTACTTAGTGCACAAACAGCAGGAATAGATACCAGAATACATGAGAGAGGAAATTGTACCCACCATCCTCCCAGCCCATTTTTTCCCTTTTTTGGTGTGTTTTTCTTTATCCAGATGTACATATAGTTTTTACCACTGCACTCATGGCAGAGATAAGATTTTGTATTTTCACTGAACATCATAATATAAACATATTTCCAAGTCACCACATAATCCTCACGAATTTATATATGTATATATCTCCTCATGATTATATATATATCCTCATGAATATATATATATTTTTTATTTATTTATTTTATTTATTTTTGAGACGTGTGCGTTTATTAGCTGAGCCACTACTTGAGGGGGTGAAGCAGGAGGAGTGGGTGGCCCTGAAGCCGGGCCAGCTGTGCTTCACGGGCTTGTAGGTGATGGAGAACTCGCCCCCAGGTAGTGGCTGATCATCTCCGGCTTGATCTCCACCTGGTTGAAGGTCCGTTGTAGACGCCCACCATGCTGCCCACCATCTCGGGCAGGATGATCATGACCCGCAGGTGAGTCTTCACCACTTCCGGCTTCTCCATGGGCGGTCCCTCCTTCTTGGCCTTGCGCAGGCGTTTCAGCAGCGAACGGTGCTTCCGCCGCAGTCCTGGTTTCAGCCGCAGCCGCTGGCGCGCACTGTTCAGCTGTGTTAGCTGCTCGTAGGACGTGTCCAGCAGCTGCTCGAGGTCCACGCCGCGGTAGGTGAACTTGCGGAAGGTCCGCTTCTTCTTCTGCTCTACCTCTGCCATCTTGCCGGATCCTCAGAAAAATGATTTATATTTTTTAATGGCCACCTAATATTACTTGAAATGATGGAATCATCGTTTGTGCAACCAATCCCTTTCCCTTAGTCATTTAGGTTGTTTACAATTTTTCGCTTCAGGTGATACATCCTCTTCGCAGACTGCAGAAAAACAGCAGATTTGTGATTTAACTGGGAGTTTTCTGGGATCAAACAGTGGCTTCGTTTACAGGTAGGTTGCCGAGCGGCCATGGTAACTGATGGAGCAGTCACTATGGTGGTCAGTAGGACTGAGTGGGAAGGGTGCCCTGGGAGCCTGGAAGCCTGGGAGCTAGCAGGGCCGCAGTCGTCCATTTCCCACCCAGTCTTTCCTGTCTCTCAGGGACCCCTGGCAGTTGCTCAGCTGGTGCTGAATTGAGAAGCAACGTGTGAACATGAAGGGTATATGGCAGATGATCCCAATTTGGCTTCTGCAAGAAGTAGAACAGTGAGCTACCTGGGGAGGCCCTGTGCCTCCGACTCTTGCTACTCCTTGGAGCTTCGTGTCTCCGAGAATAAACACCCAGTATACTCTGGGGACCTAACCGCTAATCCCAGGAGCCGAGCTAAAGAGAAATAGTGTGTTTTGCTTGTTTCATCAAGCTGAAGTCTGGGTCACCTGATCCAGGCTTATTTTCTGCTCCTCTGCAACTTCTGCCTGAGGGGCCAGGCAGTCCCAGCCTATACACAGCCTGGGCACAGCCCTCCAGGTCCTACTGGGACCAGAAATTCCTTCTGGCTTTAGGACTCCTCATCCTGGTGCTTCTTGCCTGAGCCCTTTGGGAAAGGCACCCTGTAGATGAGAATTGCTGACAGTTTGAGGGAGTGAAAACATGCAGGAAGGCAGAGGATGTTCCCGTTGCGTTTAAGGTCAGCTGTGTTTGGAGAGAATTCAAAATGCAAGCGTCCTAATACAGTCACTGGAGGCCAAGTTAATTTATTGCCTCCTGGTTACAGCCTCAGTCCCACCCCTTAGACTGAGTTGAATTTTGGAGTCTGGTGGCCAGGCAGAATCCTATGGAACCTTCTCCAGCATCCTCTTCATGGTCAATCTCAAGGTCACTCAGGGCTTGTCTTGACTAGTAATAATAAAAGAAGCCAGCACTTATAGAGTCTTTCTTGCTTAGTACTCTACGAAATGCTTTACATACGATATCTCAAATAATCCTCACAAGAACCCTATAAAGAAAGGATTATTGCTGCCTCCATTCTATAAATGAGAAAACTAAGGTTCAGAAAGGTCAAGTAACCCGAAGTCACAGAGCTGGTAAGTGGCACCAATAAAAACTCAGATTTGGGCAGGCTTACGTGTACACGCTCCCTGTGAGGGATCCTGCCACCTGCCAGCCTAGCCACAACCAAAGGAAAATAATAGCTCAACCCTTCATCAATGCAAGGCACTTTGCTAAGGTGTTTGCTTGCATTATTCTAACTCTTGAATGAGGAAACTGAATCAGAGAGATTCATTCATTTCCCCAAAGTCACACAGCTAGTATGACAGAGACTATTTTCCTCTAAAATCTAATTTCTCCTTCTTGTACAGTAATAGACCCTCATTTTTAGCTGAGCATGTGGCCTTCTGGAGTTATGACTACATTCTCCAGACTGTTGAAGCTAGGTGTCCTTGTGGCTAAATTGTGGGCAATAGGATATAAGCAAAAGCGGAATGTGCGGCTTCCTGGAACTCTCAGCCTTCTCTCCACTGCTGAAATGCAGACATGACAGCTTGAGCCAGAGGGTGCCAGCCAGTGCCATGATGTGATCAAGGCCATCAACAGCAGAGCCGCAGGGGAGTAGGAGCCTTGGTCCCTGAGGACACGCTGGAGCTAACTTGGGAATCTTGAGTTGGCCACCTCCAAAATTTTACATGAAAGAGAAAAGTAAACATCTAACTTGCTTAAGCTGCTATTGTTTTGGGGTTTGTCATTTATAGCCAAATCTAATCCTCATTAAAATAGTGGTGGAACTGGAATTTGAACCAGTTTACTCCCAAGACCAAACTTTACCTCTTTGACCTGCTATTTCTACTGTAAAACTCTCTGCCCACACCAGTTCGTCTTTAAAAAAAAAAAAAAAAAAAAATTCTTTTCTCACACTTCTGGAGGCTATATCCAATATCAATACGCCACTGGGGTTGGTTTCTGATGAGGGCTGTCTTCCCTCATGGTGGTTGGCTGCATTCTGGCTGCGTCTTCATATGGCCTCTTGGCTATGCTTGTGTGGAGAGAACGTTCCCTGGTGTCTTGTCCTCTTCTCATGAGGACAACGGTCCTTTGGGATAAGGCCTTGCCCTTATGACATCACTTAACCCTATTACTTTCTTATAGACCTTATGTTTACTGGTTTATTATAAAGGATACAGATGAAGAGACACAGAGCGTGATTTGGGGGTAGGAGCATGGAGCTTCTGTGTCCTCTCTGGGTGCACCACCCTCCATGTGTTCAGCTGTCTGGAAGCTCCTGGTTCATCTTATTACCAGTGTCTTCCATTCCCTTCCTTTGAGGAGTCAGTCAATATGTCCCAAGTGCTAGGCTCTGTGCGAGGGAATAAACCAAAAATATAAATACGAATGAGGTTTGGTTAGTGCCCTTGAGGAGCTGGCAGTCCATCTTGGAAGACAGATGGCTAAGCTAGTAAATGAAAGACAGTGCAGTGAATCGTGTAATAGAGACATGGGCCCAATGTTGTGGGAGCCCAGAGGAGTGGCTCACCGCCCGGGGGTCCGGGAAGGTTTTGCTGAGAGTGCAGCATACAATGTGGACATGCCAAGTGGCTGCTAGAGTAGGAAGTGTATTTGCTTCTCAGTCACCAGCACATTTAAACCACGGTCCTCCAAAGAGTCTCGCCTGTCTAGAACATAGCCTACTCTCCTTACCCTAGAATTTTAGACTCTTAATTCTTCAGCACCGGAGACCCCTAGAGTCAGCCCCTTAGGAATCCAGATTTCTTCTTGCTGGACCCAAGGCCATGAAGAAAAAAGTGTGTGGGATCCCTTGTTGCCTCACAACAAGGAAGAAAATGGAAGCAGGAAGCCGGAAGACCACTATCAGGAGGGCTGGACAAATAAAGATTCCTCAGCATAGCTGCGAAAGCCAGAATGAGTTGTAATTACTCTGTGCTTGGAAATGGTGTTTCCGGTGTGACTTTTCTACCTGCTCTTCTAACAGTAGAGCTGCTGTCACTTTATAAAGCCCAGACCTGGCTTTCCCTGATTAGAGCCAATTAGAATGACCCCAAGAGGGCAGCCAGGGCCGCTTCGCTGCTAATGAGGGCGGCTGATGTGTTGGTGTCAGTTTATTTGCCCAGTGATGGGGAGATGGGAAAGCCTATCCCACCAAGCGGTCTCTTTCTTTCTCCTCCCAGTGCCTCCAATAAGTCTATCAACTATTCTGAGCACCAGCTTTCAATACAGGGATGAGATCTACTGGGGGAAAAGACTATCTCCTGGGTAATGAGGCCAAGCAACACTTTTCCTTACTCAGCATATATTTATTAAGCAACTACTATGTGCCACATGTGGTGCCAGGGGTCACACATAATAATACGATACAGGCAGCGGCAACTTTACCATGAAGTTAATAAAACTTAAGCTTTAGGGCCGCCCATTAGGACAAGTTCCGGAGGGGACCCTAGTAATGTGTTTGTGGGGATCACATGTTTTGTGAAACTTGCCGAAGTCAGCTATTTGAACCACACTCAGTTAAGACTGCTATCCCTTTCCACTCAGACTTCCCCTCTGTCACACTCCCCCTCATGTTGCCCAGAACTGAAGTGGCCATGGACATTTTTGCGATCTGGCTGGGGGAAGTTAAGTTGGGGATACAGTTGTTTTATGGGACATATCTAGGTGGTTTGCAGTCACTTTTGTGTAGAGTTGACTTTTGCTAGCCATCTCAGTGCAGAAATGGTTCCCAGAAACACACTTACTGCCCATGGTGCCGACTTACCTGGCATTATGACACTCAAATGCAGGGCCAAAGACCATATGGGATTTGCGAGTGTCCTATGCAGCCTGGCCCTGGAAGCATGTGGGTAATAGAGGAGAAACAGGATTTGAACTGTATAGAGCCAAAAGCTAGTCTGTAGGAAATTCTTCCAAACATCAGATGTGTAAGATTGTAAGTGCAGAATCCGGTTCTCACTGATACATAGTCATATACCTTAGGCATATATATATTGAGTACTGCGGCGATACAATTACATGCTTTCCTTTTTTCCCCCTTTTTAAAATGCCGAATATAATTTATCAGAATTCCTGTGTTTATAGGATACAAACTGTAGCGGTCCTGCAAACAACAAATATGTCTGGCTGTGGTCACATGTGTTTATGCATTGCGTCAATCATAAATATAATTATTATTATGCCAGAGGACTTAATTCTCATTTCATTCTCTATATAGAAAATATTACAGAATTGTTACATATGAAGAGGCAATAAAAGAGTATTATTCAGCCAAAAAATGTGGAGAAAGACTTATTGCAGTGTGCTAGGCAGTTAACAAAAACATTTTTCTGTATTTTGTGATATTTGAAGTATTTTTCCACTTTAAAGGCTTTACAATTTATTATTTCTTTCCCCAATCTACATAAAGGTCCACTTTTCTGCCTAATTTTGTTTTTGTAATTTTGTATTTTTCTTAAAAGAGAACCCTCAAATTGTCTAAGTTTCAGGCTCCGCAAAACCTGAGTTCACCCCTGGAACATACAATTCTTTATTCCTTGTCATGGTCTATGGGCGAACCCTGTTGCCTCCCTCCTTTACCACGTATGTAACCAGTGCCTGCTGCATGCCAGGTTCTGAGCTAGGGATGGGAACACAATCATGGATGAAACAGACCTGGCCCCTTCCCACGTGGAGAGAAAGAGACAGACATCAAATAAACGAAGTCATACAGGATGCTGTGGGAGAGAAAAGGGGTGGGGACCTCTTGCAGGAAATAACGTTTCAGCAGAGACTCAAAGAATATGTAAGAGTTACCTAGATGAAGAGTAAAAG